TACAAATTTTATTTTATTGTAATAATAAAATTTTTATTATAATAAATTTAAATTATTATTTTTAAAAAATGGTTCTTTTAAAAAAAAAGTTAAAAATCCTATTCAAAATTTGGCTCCTCGAGAACCAAATTCCGACTAGGAAATCCACGAGAACTACCATCATGAAGATCAAAATTTGGTTTTTCAGGACCGAATTTAGATCATGAACAATAAATAATATCATTTGGGTAAATAGGGTGGGCTGGGTAAATAGGGTGGGCTGGGTACAATTGGATAAATTTATTTTTTTTAATATTAATTCAGAAAAGAATTCTTACAATGCAGGTACATTATGAATTTACAGATGTATTTGTTCATCAATAATTTTCAATTGCTATGCTGATTCCTCTTTTTATACTGTTTATGCTGTTGAGCAAATGGAATAACCAACACATAAAAATGGAGAAAAAATAATGAATTCCATTATTAACATATAATTATTATAAAACACTTGATTGATCACACTCTCCGTAATTTATAACATAACTCTCCCTATTTATTTGTGATTGTAGTTGTTGTGTTTTCTCTCTCATGATTTTACAACTTCAAAAGCTATGTATTTATAATAGACTAGGGAGAATTAAAGCCACATAATAAAGATAACTATTATCCTAATTTTAAATATGTGAATTGATCAAATACATATGCTCCTTTGGTTTCCTTATGGCTGGAAGTAGCTGGACTTATTCAACAAATGCTGAATCTGTCATTTCCTGAACTAGAAGGCAAAAGCTAAAGGTAACATACAAGGTTTTAAAATAATGTTCAAGTCCAACCAAGAAATTGACCTCAGTCCTCAAGTGATTACTACGTTGAATTTAAAGTTGAATTGTTTAAACAATATTCGATTTGAGCTTTGACAGAAATAATATTTAATTAAACTTTATTTATCTTTTAACCGAATTAAAAACAGTAATATGAAATCAAAAGATAAAAAAATAAAAATAAAAAATATTCTCAACCACGATTTCACCTGCAATGACATGCTTCTTATTTTGAGGGGGTTCTACTAGTGTAATTGTGATGACATTTGTATAAATAAAAAAGGAACAGAAGAGGGCAAATTACGGAAAATACAATTCTCTAGTGAGGATACAAAAGTCTATTAAAATAGTTCATCATGATTTTACCATAATAAAATTCAGCACATGGTATTGAAAAAGTTTACCATCATCCACTTTACAAAGTGGAACTTTCTTTGGCTGCGTTTTATCATGTTCCTAGAATATTACACTACACAGGGAGCGACTGTTATGTTTCTGAAGTCAAGTCAAGCACGTCATTCATGTAAAAATCTGGCACCAATGTTTGGGATACCAACACTTCCTTAGCATGGTTCTAGCAAACAGCACGTAAGGTTGTGTTAGATTATGAAAATCAATCTTATGATTTATGAACTGATATGGCATTAACTTGTACCCTCACATCCTTGACAACATTGCTTTGCCTATGTATGTTTTGCGTGAATGCAGCTACCAACAAAGAAATTCTGCGAATGGGGCAATCCATGGGAACCTCAGACACTGTTCTTTCCCGTGGCGGAAAATTCGAACTGCGCTTTTTCTCCAGAACAAGAGAGAACTCCACCATGTACTATGTTGGCATCATATGGAAAAAAAAGGTTCCAAACGACAAGATTGTGTGGGTTGCTAATAGAGACTACGCACTTCAATCATCCTCAGCGGTTCTTACAATTCAACCTGATGGAAATATGGTGATCATAGATGGTCAAATGATGTACCGCGTGAACAAGGCTTCAAACAATTTTGATACCTATGCCATGCTTTTGGATTCTGGAAACTTGCTACTATTAAACACCTCAAATCAAGCGATTTTGTGGCAGAGTTTTGATAATCCCACGAATACCCTTTTACCAGGAATGAACCTAGGACAGGATCCTCTCTTTGGTCACTCTTGGTCATTGATATCATGGAAAAGGGCAGATGACCCTGCCCCAGGAGCTTTTTCCCTAGAATATGATTCTACCAGTGACAGGGCGAGTCTAATTGTCAACAATGGTTCTAATGTGCTCTGGATTGATGATCATTCAAATGATACTATTAACAACGTTATTAGCCGAAGTGATGTGGTATATAACGCAGGTTATTTCACTTGGCCAGTTGGTAATGACTCTGTGCTGGTGCTAGAAGTGTCTGGGGAGATCAACCAGGAGTATTGGTCAGAAGAAGAAACACGTTGGAAGTCTAAGCAGTCATCCAAGTGTGGAACCAACAATTCATGTGGAGCTTTTTCCATTTGTGACCCGCAAGCTCTTCACCCTTGTGTCTGTCTCCCTGGTTTCGAGCCACATGATGCTGATTCTTGGAGGATGGGGGACACATCCGCTGGCTGTGTCAGGAAAGTACAACTGTCCTGCAGCGGGGATGGATTCTCCCAGTTAAATGAAGTTCAATTACCACAAACTTTCGACGGATACAGCCAGCAAAAGATTGGTTCAGCAAGATTGTGTGAAACAATTTGCTTCACAAAGTGTTCCTGTGTTGCCTATGCTTACGATTTTAGAGGTATCTGCCAGTTGTGGCTTGGTCCAGTATCGAGTCTAAAGAACATCTCAACATATGTGTACAATTCTGATAATCCCAATCCAGTTTTTAACCTAAGACTTGCTGCCTCAGAATTTATTAATGCTGGTAAGTTGAAGAAGCCTCCTTTTCCTTGATGTAAATATCTTTCACTTGGTTTCTTAAAGAGAATAGAACAATGAATACCAGAAGAAACACCATCAATAGTCATAAAGAAATGTGTTAGTTGTTGGAGATCCCGGATCATCATTTTGAGATATGGCCATAATTTACTTTCTTAATATTAGTTATGTTATCCAACTATGTTAACGGTAACCGAAAGTTGTGTGTTTATCGATCATCACCCAATGGTTTAGAAAAATATGTTTGATGATCATGAGCCATACTTTCTTAATATTAGTTGTGTGTTTAGCATGTGATGCAGCTACTATAAGGTATACTTTGTGCACTCTTCAAAGACCAGAAGTTAGAATCTACGAAGCATTTACTCCTGACTCGGACATTAGTAGATAGAGGACTAATGTCCAAAAAGTAGAGCACAAGAAACTAACATGTATATATAAGCTTTATAATTTTTATCGGATAATGAAGACGAACCAAATCTCTTAAAAGTTTAAACATGAGTCTTACAATTGATAAAAAAATTGTTATGAATTGTGTCAAAAAAATATGTTTGTGCTTCATAGATTAGGTTCGTAGATTAAAATCCTATTGTTGGATACCAGAGAATTCTCATATACACATCTTCATATGATGTTGTTTCCTTTGAGTTAAATTTTTATAATTTTACTTTTGATCATCTCTCAAAAATTCTTATATTTATGGAGACTATGTATATTTTATTTATACATAATTCAGCAATGTACCCATGAGTTGTATTTCATTCAACCACAATTTCTCTCTCTATTCCCTTCAGTCTCTTTCTTCGTGTCACAGCTTGGGTACATTTATGAGTTAATACATCTGTTTTCATAATTGATGATTCTTCTCTGCAGATTCAAACGCAAGAAATGGAAAAGAAAATGATTTTCGCAAGCATGAAAATGGGCTGCGGAATATCCTTTTAATTGTTATACTGGTCTTATTTCTATCATTTCTTGTATTGGGCCTATTCGTTTACTGGACTAGAAAGCAAAGGAATAAAGGTAAGAAAGAAAAATTTTCGCAGTAACTGATGAGTATGACCAGTTAATTAAACATTAATTTATCAATCAAGTCTCCTCACTTTCCAGGGGAAGACTTGCTACATTTTGATGCAAGCATGAGCATGAAAGCCGAAAGTTCTGATCTTACTGAAGGACAAAGGGGTGCGAAAGTTGAAAAGAAGGAAGTCAAATTGCCATTGTTCAGTTTTGTGAGTGTTGCAGCAGCAACTGATAATTTTTCAGATGCAAATAAACTTGGTGAGGGTGGCTTTGGACCTGTTTACAAGGCATGTTCAAAACTCTCTTAGCAATATGTTTTAACCATGTGAACTTGGAATGTAATCAATATATAGCTATGTCAAATCAATAAACACTAACTCTTACACTTCATTCTCTTATCACTTATCTGCAAGTTTGACTTTGAAAAAATGAATTTCAGGGTGTATTATTGAATGGGGATGAGGTTGCTGTGAAAAGGCTATCGCGAAGATCTGGTCAAGGATGGGAAGAGCTGAGAAATGAAGCCTTATTAATTGCAAAGCTCCAACACAACAATCTTGTTAGACTTCTTGGCTGCTGCATTGATCGAGATGAAAAGATATTGATTTATGAATTTATGCCTAACAAAAGCTTGGATGTTTTTCTTTTTGGTTTGTACCTTGACGACTCAGAACTCCTAATGTGCTACTTTCAATTAAACTCGCAAACTTTGGTTGTGACATCTTTTAATGCAAAACAGATGCAACAAAAAGAAGGATGCTAGATTGGGGAACCCGAGTTAGGATAATTGATGGGATTGCCCAAGGAATCCTTTATCTTCATCAGTATTCCAGGTTTAGGATCATTCACCGGGATTTAAAAGCTAGCAACATATTGTTAGACACCAACATGAATCCTAAAATATCAGATTTTGGAATGGCAAGAATATTTGGTGAGAATGAACTTCAAGCAAATACAAACCGAATAGTTGGAACTTAGTAAGTCAAATAAAAGAATACTATTGTTGTTATAGTAATCATATAGTTTCCTTCAAGATTTCAGTCACATAATCAAGATCAACCATGCTAATTAATCTACCTTTATGGTTGCATGTCAGTGGCTACATGTCCCCTGAATATGCTATGGAAGGGCTTTTCTCCATAAAATCGGACGTGTTTAGCTTTGGGGTCCTTCTGTTGGAGATTGTGAGTGGCAAGAAGAATACTGGCCTTTATCAAACAAATTCCTTCAATCTTCTTGGATATGTAAGTTTCTAGATTCCACTCATTTATTCTTAATATGCAATGCTGAAATTCAACTTGATTTCATAATATGTTGATGTTTTAAGCCATTTTCTCAAAAGCCAAAAGGTGCATTGATTATTTAACTTGATGGGTGTTCAAAGTATAGTATTATTATAGTCTTACCAAACTATACATGCTCCAAACATTATAATTTTGACTTTAGCTTTTTTTGGTGAATATTGAAGGCTTGGGATCTATGGACAAGAAATTCTGGAATGGACTTAATGGATCCTTCACTGGATGATAGTGATACTGCTAGTTGTAGTAAGCATACAGTGCCAAGATATGTGAACATAGGACTTCTCTGCGTTCAAGAAAGTCCATCAGAAAGGCCAACCATGTCTGATGTTGTGTCAATGATTGGGAATGACACTGTGGCTCTTCCTTCTCCTAAACCACCTGCATTTCTAAATGTGAGAGGTAATGAAAAATCAACATTGCCATGTAGCACGTCAGAAAGCTTTTCTGTGAATGTTATCACAGATTCAATAGTGGAAGCAAGATGAGTGACTAATAGAATGAGACCGTTCTCATTGTAAGATAAGTTTGTAACTTGTTTCTATTTAATGTTTACTACGTTAATGCTTCTATCCCCCTTTTCCTCTTTCTGTATTTATCATGTGTAATGAAGTTAAGAAAACCTGAGTTTGATTCCAACAGTTAATAACTTGATATGAATGTCAAAAATATTCCTTTGAATGATGGAACTGATATGTATTTTTTATTTAATTTTATTTGTCGATGACAGTAAAATATAAAAAAAATCTGCTCGTATCTTCTACACTACATTTTGTAGTAGTTATACCATTCATAGATCAGTGGAATCTTGAGTTAGTTTTTTTATCCATGATCTTGAGTTAGTTGTTACCTCTAAAATGATCACAATGCATTAAATGTTTGTATCTCCGAACCAGTGGACACGAACTGTAGATGAGCCAAGAAAGGTTTCTGTGGTCACACTAAAACTAGATATGCATCTGCGCAATGAGCAAATAAGTAAATTATTTAACATTGAAACAATATTTACAATAATAATCTAACATTTAATCACCTTAGCATACTTTTCAATACTATATTTCTTTTGCAAATATTTTATATCATTGTTTAAAATATTATTAAACACGTCTTTTTATTATTAGAAGTTTTAAGATATGAACGAACAATATGCTTTTTATTATGAGTAAGTTATATTCCAAGTCTTGCGGAACATTAAATGTTTTAATATCTATATTTTGAAGATATATATATATATATATAATAACTATTAATTATATTAAACTTACATTCATTTTATTTGAGAGTGTAATGAATAAGTTTTAGAGTTTAATTAGAGAATGGTGTTAAAAAAGTTTAATGAGAGAAAGTGATCAATAAATTTGTGAGATATAAAATGACAACTTTAAACATATAATAAATCACTAATATTAAAATTAAAAAGTTACAATCGAATTTTGATGTGCAATTCATTATTATAGAAGAAATAAATAAATAAAACAAATGGGTAATTAGTGCGTCCATTTAGAGAATGGTGTGATGGTTTACTTATTGTAGTACCATTATAATGTATATTAGGCTCGAGCTAATTAAGACAACCTACTAAATTGTTTTCAAACAATAACAATATTAAAAGAAACATATTAAAACAATTATTGGAAGAGTTATAAAACACCAAAATCCAAAACGAAATTTACTTTAGTGCTAAAATGTTAAACATTAAATAAAATTTGTAGAAGAAATTAACTAATAATCATTTTGTAAGCTTAATTACTTATTCTAGAATGTAAACAAATGAAGTCTTTTCTCATTTAGTCTTTAAAAATCTCTTCTTGTTATGACTCTAAATTTTATTCGTTGTTATTGTATAATTAATAGACTTATAAAATGAAATTGGAAGCCTATATCATAATAAATTTGCCTATTACTTCAAATTCATAATTTTTTTTATCCATAAAATATGTCAAATTTATGCCTACACATTCAATCCTCATTTTCTTCCTTTACTAAAATTGTCTCAGAAAAAAAATAATTTATATATAATAATAAAATCAACCTCAATATATTAAAAAAAACAAATTTATTATGCACAAAATTGTTTTTAGAGATTTTTCTTTGATAAGAGGATTTTTAAGAATTTAAAAAAAAAAAATTATCTAATTTTATTTTTATTTATCATAATTATTTATGAATTGAATTTAAATATTTTTAAAATAAATTATCAATAAATAAAAATAATATTGTGTTGCAATATAAATTATTTATCAAAAATTTAAAATATAATTTATATACTAAAAATATTTATTTATATAATTTTAAGCATAATTTATATATTCAAATAGAATATTTATTTATATAATTTATTATAAAATTTAGTTATATATAATAAAAATTCGTAAATTTAATTATATATAATAAATATTTAATTTGTGTATTTTACATGCTAACTAGTAAAATAAAATATTCAATTATCAAATTTAAAAAATACCTAAGAAATTAGTTGATTTTGGGAAGAAGTAAGAAAGGGTGCAATTTGTTCGCATTCGAATTCGAATAATTAATTATTTAATATTATATAAATTACATAACATTATTTAAAATTGAACGTGAATTCAATACAAGATAGTCTAATTAAAATATAATTTAATTATGACAATAGTATTAAAAAAAATATTATTTTAGGTTAACCAATCTATAATTTTTTATCAGTAACTAATACATAATTAAATCCATTGATATCTAATTAGAAATTTTGATTTTTTAATTAATTAGAATTAAGAATTAATTTAATATCAATTATAATTTAACATTTATATCTGTGTAATAAATCTTATTGAATTAAGAAAAATCAAATATATATGAAGAAAAAAATTAGTTTGAACTTGTTAAAAATGAATAAAATAAAAATAGTTAACACAATAAAGTGTTATAATTTCATCAGGTAATTATCTATTGTAAACCGTCAATTATAATAAAATTCTGTTAATTTTAATTTCAGATGAGAATATATAGATGGTCACAATTACATACGTAAAGATCATAAATCTATACTATATATAAACGAAGGGATTACAAATGAAAATTTCGATGTCAAACTCTCAACCACCACATAAAAAAATTTTAAAATCGATAAAAATATATTTTTTGTCTCTTATATTATTTATTATATTTTATTTTATTTTATTTTAATTAATTAAATTAATTTAATCTCACATCTTTAAAATATATTTAAATGTTTAATTTTCATCTCTTCTGTTTAAATATTTAACAGATGTGATACGTGTCGTGCTATCATAACATATGGCATGACACATGTCATGACAGTACGACACATGTCATATTTATTAAGTATTTAAATGAAATGGACTAAAAATTAAATATTAAGATACATTTTAAAGATGTAAAACTAAATTTTTTAAATAATTAACGTAAAACTAAATTGACACTAATAAATAATATAAGAGATAAAAAATGTATTTTTACCTTTAAATTTTATTTTATTTTTAAGTGAATAGATATAATATTAATATTTGTCTTTTTCTTTTGTCCAACACTAATTTTTACAGTTCAAAAACAAAAGGCCCAAATATAAAAGGACTAAGCCCACATAAGATGTTTAAAAAATTAACAAAAGACAAAAATATGGTCTCCATCAAAAAAAAATTATAAATTTTTAAAATAAATGTTATTTTTGATAGCCGTGGTCTAGGAACTTGGTTCATATATTACTTTCCTCTTTTGCCCTTTAGTATAGGATATATATCTAGTATAAGCAATGGCAAAACTGGAATAATCACAAAAATGAAAATTATTGATTCACTGATAATTCAAAATTGATAAAGTATACTCTGATAAAACAAAATGATTACGTACTTATATGGTACCTATGCCACGTACCTAATCAACTTAGGGAAAAACCTTTTCAAAAGAAAGCGACTAATATTTTTAAAATCATAATGTACCTCCATTGTTAAAGACAAAAATAATTTGTTGCTCCACTTTCATTTATTGTCTTCAAATCTGCAAAGAATTAATAATAAATAATAAAACACATCTATTGGCTGTGGGTTCTTCTAGAAAGAATAGAATGAAATAAAACAGTGTTTGGACTTTGGACTAAAACTTTTAGAAATTTAAATAATTTGAAATTTATAAATTTAAATTCCTGTAATTTGAATTTTTATTATTTTTAAATATTTTATTTAGAAAAGTCAATTTAATTTTTTTTAAATTTTAGATTCTTAGTTTGGATTAGATAATTTAATTTTCATCCTAGAAAAAACTGATTTCAAATATATATAT